AAGAAGGAACTGGAAATTTCTTTAGTTATTATTTGAGCAAAATACTTGAGTAGTTGCTCTCACCCTGCCTCCAAGCATGCGCAGTTAAACTTGTCTCTTTATAGCACAGACTCTTAGAGCTAAAAAGGAGCTTCAGTTCAGTCTCCTCATTTGGTAGGTTAGGAAATGAGGCCTGACCCTACTGAGTTAACCCAGACTGTACCGAGAACAGAACTGTGGCTATGGACCTCCTCGCAAATAAGTCTGTCTTGTCATGTGCAATGCTGTTTTTATGGTATATTCCTGCTCCCCGCTGCATTGGAATGTGTCTGACAAAGTAGAAGCAGCTTTAACCTAACTGTGATTGCATTCTTTACTATTTTTATTTTCCTCCTTGAAAGAAAATTCCAGAATTTATCTGTGCAATTAGCAGTACTGGCACCCTCTCCGTTCTAATGTCAGAGCTATGCTGAGCCAAGAAAAGCACAGAGGGTGGGGTATCATGTGACCTGGGTTCAAGTCTTGGTTCCACAGGCAGTTGGTTTCATGCCTGTGGAACCAGGTTACTTAGCTTGTCTGGCCACGTTAGTTAGCCTGTCTTGGCCTGTTTCCTTCCAAGTGAAATTAGTAAGTTACACTAGCTACCCTCCTTCATGCTCTGTGACAGTGATGGCGAACCTTTTGAGCTCGGCGTGTCAGCATTTTGAAAAACCCTAACTTAACTCTGGTGCCGTGTCACATATAGAAATTTTTTGATATTTGCAACCATAGTAAAACAAAGATTTATAGTTTTGATATTTATCTTATATATTTAAATGCCATTTAACAAAGAAAAATCAAAAAATGAGTTCGCGTGTCACCCCTGACACGCGTGTCATAGGTTTGCCATCACTGCTCTATGACCACTGAGCAGGGCTGCATGTCCCTCTTTATCCAGGAAGCGGGGACATGGCACCTTTATATGTAATGCATATATTTTTCTTAATTCCCCCAAACATTTCAGAGTCTATGTACCATAAGTTATTTTTAGAAACAGAGCCTTTGATAAAGATAGAAAACAAAAATAAATTTCTGTTCACTAAAACCAAAACCAAGAATTAACAAAAAGCATCAGAAAATTCAAAGGATCCTAAATTAGTTATATCTAGACTAGAGTGATATAAATTTGCTTCAGAGGTATTTTTGCCTCATTTTGAACCTTGACATATAATAAAACTTTATTGGTTATTTTGATTGGGTTACAAGGCCATTGGCTTTTAGTAAAAAGTTTGAATTGTAGATTCTTTTATAGTAGATAAAACATCTGAAACCAGACAAATATCACCTAATAGAGATCCTAAAATAACCTGATATAGTAATTTTTTAATATTGATTTTTAATTGACCTGCCAATTATTTGTGAATGATTTTTAACTTAAAAAGTGTTTGAATTATGGTAAAGGATTTGATATTCAAGAAATGAGGATAGAGAGTCCATGGAGAATAAACCTCTCTGCTTTTAGATAGTCCAGGAGTACTTCACAGAAAAGGTGGTAATTGAGGACATATTTGAAGAAATTGGGTAAGAAGCCAGGTCTTGGTCTAAGAGGAAAAGTGATGGCAAGAATCTACCAGACACATCTTTGGTCTGTGAAGAGTATTTCTTCTGTCTAAGGGGGGAAAAAGACGACACTGATTATTACTGAACAAGGCATCCTGACACTAGCGAACAGTAAATGTATTATTTAATCTAATTACTCTCTTGCAGAAATGTGTTTAAGAATGCATGAGCCTGCAGGTTAATGGCTAATTAATGACCATCTGTCTCCTTTCTCTCTCTCCTCTGTGGCCATAGGATGCTCTGGCCAGTTGTGACGTGAATGGGAATGACTTGGACCCAATGCCTCGTTATGATGCAAGCAACGAGAACAAGTAAGGCCCAAGTGAAGGCTGACTGGCGTGTGACTGGCAGGGAGCCTTGCTTTTTGCTTTTGCTGAGAGAAATACTTTACTTGGGACTCCTTGGTAACAGATGATCCCGAATTTGCTCCAGGATAAATAAGTGTCTTTCCACGGATGCTTCTGGGTAATAAAAGGGAGAGGTCCAGATAGTAAGAATCATTGCAGAGAGAAAGAGAGAGAACCCTCTAGAATGATTCAATTTCCAGATTTTGAGAGGAGAGCTGGGGAATATTCATAATTATCTTTCAAGTGGTAATTGACCCTGTGGCCTATTTGTTTAGGAATGGGGTGCGAAAGGGAGAGGCGAGAAAGTATCTCCCAAAAGAGTTGCTTTACTCTGTTAAGTTCAACAAACTTGATTGCATTCTGTGCTTGAGGACTCTTTCCTGTCCTCTTGCTGTCGTGATGGTGTTTTCCATTAATAGACCTAAACACTTAAAGGTTTGCCAGGTGTGGAACACATTACATTTCTTATCTCCACAGTCAAGAGCTTTAGAAACCCATTTAACCACAGTTACACTTTCCAGTTAGCACGGTAGTTTTTATGAAAGCAAATGAAAATGCACATCTCTTTGATAAGCTAGAATATCTTAACATTCTTCAGAAAGTAAATGGAAATGGTATTTGTTGCTTACCATGATATAGGCATTTTAAAGTCTGTCGTTATTTCTAATCTCTAGATCACATTAACTTTTTTCCTTTTTCTGCAAAGCTCCTCCAGCATAATACTGTGATTCAGATACTATCATTGGAATTCTTATTTACATATTTTAGTTTGGGTTCTGCAGAAGTTTCAAAGAGAGGTGTTGTGCCCATTTATTATGTACTGTTTCCAGCCTGTGTTTTTCCTTAGGGAAAATTTTCTCAGCCAGGATTATTTGATTAAGTCAATAAGTTTAGATAAAACTATCTGACCTAGATAATTGTGACTGTACATGGGATTTTTCTCTTTTTTCTCTCTCTTTACCATTTACCAAAAGAGTTACTTTGGAAAATATCCTGATTATTAATATTAAAAACTGAGTCAATATTATAGATCACATTTAGTGGTGAAAGCATTAATATGCAAATTGGTATAGATAGAATTTTCTAGAACTTTCTAAAGAGAAAGGGAACTAAACTAAACTGGATAGTTTTCCTTTTAGACCTGGTCATTGCTATCTAGATTACACTGTTTGAAGTTATGGTGAATTTCACACAAAGGATTATAATTTGAGACCCTGAGCTACTGTATTTAACCTAATGTGCAAGTTAGAAGGAAACACAAAAGAAAAACTTGAAGCTTCAATAAAGTCATCACTAATAAATATCAGTCTATTCTGCTATCATGCAATTTTCCTAAAAAATACTTGCACTCTGCAAGATCTAAAACCACAGAGTAATAAGCAAATGGAGTTGGAGCTCAGCACTCAAAAACTTCATCAGTGACACACACAAAAATGACTCAAAACAGTCCCAATTTTATCCAGGTAAAGTGGTTAAGAAATATATAAAACTACAAGCACTGTGACACTATCTGCATAAAGACCTGAAGCTTGTTGGTGGACGTGTGTGCCCATTAGATCTATTCTGACTCACGTGCCTGCCACTCTGTGTGCAAAAGTCAAAGAATAAGAGGAAAAGAGAAAGATGAGCATTTCTACAAAGGACAGAGACTAGAGAGGACAATCACAGTGGGAAAGGGGGACAGAAGCAGAGTCAGGTACACCACCAGTACGGCCTTCGCGAACCTGGCAGCTGCAAGTTATTGTGAAATGGAAGGAGGGTGATCAGAAATCAGGGAATTATCAGCACGCCTGTGGACACGTGTGGACCACCGTGCTCCTGTGGGGTGTGGCTCTGTGTAGTGTATTCTGTGTTGTTCAGGGCTTAGTGCCACTGGGTGTGTTTTCTACGTCTCCCTAGAGTTTCTGGGGCAAAATTTTGTATCAACAAATGCAAATTTCACATATGTTCAAACATTCTCTAACATATCAGTCATTGTTGATTGATTGCTTAGATATATCAATCAAAACATTTGTATTTTAAAAACAAAACAAATAAACATTTGTGTTTTCAAGGCAAGCAGTATAGCAGAATTGACCGTACTATATCCTTTAGCTAAATTTATCCCATCAACATTTTATATAGAGAAAACAGAAACAGGAAAGTCTAGATCATGTTAATACCCAAAGTGTCAAGAGACAAGAGGGTCTGTTGGTAGAAAATGAAAATGTATTGTGCCCTGTAGTCAGTTCTCTCTGAATCTACATGTGCTGAGTTTTGCATTGAAACTGTCTGTGGTGATAGTGACTGTTCTTCAAGGCGGTTGGGGGTGGTTGTGGTCCTGACCTGTGACTAACATCGCTGACCACAAAGTCTATATGTAAAGCTAATTCTTTCAATATTGACTTTGATGTCTCTGTACAGTCTGCCTTTTAAAAACTGAATTCTTTGTGAGGATTCCTTTTCAACTTGGCCACTCCCCAAGACCTTTGTTAAGAAGAATCACAGCCATGCTGCTCACACTGGGGTATTCTGGTGTGTCCTGTTTTAACTCATTCTAAGCACCGTCCATGGTCCATAGAATGTAGTGTGAATCTGATTATCAGAGGACATGGGAATTTGGTCCAGGTGTGTGCTTAGGTTTGTAGTCTCGAGAGAGAAATGTGGCATTTTCCATGGTGCAACACCAGCACTGCCTACCTCTATTTTATGAAAGTCAGTAGTCACCTGGGCTATCAGATGTCCCTTTATCTCCTCTCATAGTTCTGCCTGATTTTTATTTTTTTTGCCAACCGTAAGCATGTAGTCACGCGTTTAGGGTTACAATTAAAATATATTCTCTGTTCATTACACTATAACTATAGATGTGATGGATGGATCTGCCTGTAAGCATAGATTCATAGACAGATAATTCTGTTTGAATAGAGGTCATTTGGTCAGGAAATGAGTGGGTTTGTAGTCTAGAAGAGTTGACTTGCTTTAGTTCTCCTTGATTACATTTATAGTCTTTGGACCTAACTACTCTGAACTTTAGTATTTTTTTTTAAATCTCTAAAATGGGCATAATACTTCCAAAGAGTAGCAGTGAAGTATGTAAAACACCAAGCATACTGCTGACTATATAACAGGTGCTAGATAATTATAGCTTTTATTATAATGATGTGTTTTATTCCTTTATCCAGTTCTTGGTAAATAATGGGTTACAATTATAAATATCTCAAAATAAATATGCATATGGGCATTTAAAATTTAAACTATGACTTGGAGGTCTTCATTTCCAAGGTTAGGGGTTTAGTTAGGTCTTTCTGGTCCTTTAGGGGCTGGGAGCTATGAATCATTCAGTCTGTAATAAGTCTGCTTTTCATTAATTCCATTTCCCCATCTCCCTTGGAAATCAGGAGTCCTTGAATTTGATGCAAGATAGTCAAGGGGCGGAATTTCTAATCATCAGAACGAGGAAGTTGAGGGATTTGCTATGCAAGTGCCTCCTCATTGTATGGTCTGACCAGTAGGCTTCAGAGCATATTTGAAATTATTTCATATGTGGCAGCATTTGCTCATTCATTCAATAGGTGTGCATTGATGCCCCACTTTGTGAGTGATGATGCTATGCTAAATGCTGGGGGGATGCCGTGGAGAAATAATAGAGGTTACTTACTAATGGATTGAGTTGGGAGATGACTCAGTAAGAAGCTGTAATGCCTAAAGGCTTCTAGTACTAAGAGAGAATATACCCTCACAACTTTATGCAAATCATTGTTTCTTAGACTCACAGGATTACATTTCTAGTCCTAAAGCTTTAGGGTGAAGGTAATCACTTCTGAAGTACAAAAGTTATAAAAATCCACTTCTTACTACTTTTTCAAGTCCCCCAAATGGTAGTGTGTCAGACCTCAATAACAGATACTCAAGAAATAGTATTATTAGGGGAGACCATACAACTAGTCCTCCAATTCGGCTTTGCCTCCATTCACATCAGCTTGCTGAATAAAGCTGACTGCATTGTTCTAGGCTTTAAAATAGAAAATGCCTCCCTGAAAATGAAACTGCCTCCTGGCATTTCATACCACGACTCCTATTTCCGATAAATGAATTATTGATGTCTGAGCTAGATTGTCCCTTCCCTAGATTGCTTCTTGTTAAATGTTCCCTCTGCTTAAAAGTCATAGCCACATATTTAGTGGGAGATGAGACCATGGTGTTATATTTTGAGTGTAACACATATGGGCCCAGAATCTAATTCCTTTTTAAAATAAACCAACCCACAGGTGAAAGACTCATTTTCCCAAAGGAATGGATTTTTCATTTTGTTGCTTATCTCTGTTTCTAGGGAGATTTAACCAGGGTGGATGGGAGCACATTTCTTCTGGTCCTTTAGTCTCCTTTCACACATCATTTCTGGTTTTAAGAATGTCACCATGTTGCAGAAACCCAAGTGTGCATGGCCTCTCATTCTTACAGATGGACTATTGTCAGGGGTAGTGTCCCAAAGCCAGACCAATGAGTGTAGACAGTGTTTTCTGATTATACAGATATATTAATCCAATCTGAGAGAGAGAAGATAAAAGAAAGCACACTTCAGGTCTCTGATCAATAGCTGCGTGACCTTAATACTTCTTAATGTAGCAGCATTATTTCTTTACACACAGGATTTAGCCAAACATGTTAAGATGAAATTACCCCGTAGCTAAGTAGGTGAGAAAAAACCTGCCAAAGAAAAGCAAGGCCATTATCAGAGGCTGATTTGTTTTCCAAATATTTTCAAAATTTTCCCTCTAATCCTTTTGCAAAATAACATCTCCAATATACTACATAGTAGTTGCCGCATCAGTGATTGTCAAGTGAATTTATGCAACGTTGTCCCTACGAATGTACAGACTAGATGCTGAATATCCACAGACAGCTGTGCAGAAACATCTGACGCTTTTCATATTCAGCCGTAGATTTTATGTCCATGAAAGAGCCTGCAGTGAATATTCTAGAAA